TATATAAAAAAACAATTAAAATTTATTTAGTTTACTTTTCCACTGACCATTTTTATGAATCACAATTGACTAGAGAATGAGAATTGAGAGCTTTCCATACTTACTTAGGCATATATTTTCATAGTCAGAATGGGAATATGTGCAGAATGTAGTGACTCTAATAGCTGAATTTATTAGCCGATCTAAGCTAGACCACCATTGAATACCTGGATCGATTAAAGTTAGACATTAACACCGTATGATGCCAGATTGGTGGTCTAGAGCTTAAGCGTCAGCGTGTGAGACAGAGGGTGCCGGGCTCGAGTCCTTCATATGGAATCTCGGATGCGCACCGCTGAGGAGTATCATGCTAGGACGAAACGGTCGTTCAATGCTTCAGGGTTTTTTAATAGCGGTCTAGCTTAGATCGACTCATGAATCCAATTATTACTATATTTATAACATTATTTGACAATTTGTTTCAGCCTACGCAGAACTAAAATTAAGATAAACAAGTTCCTAATTCTGTAAATGAATCTCATCATAGAATCAGTAATATATATATTATAGCAATAATTTGAATACCTTAATATACAAAAATTGCATTCTCATGTATTATTTCATTTATGAAAATTTCATTGCATGTACATACAGCGAATTACATTTATTTTTCAAAAAAGGATGTTGAGGATGATGACAATGATGATTTAAAGCTGATAAGAATTTATTTACGAAAATAATTACACTCATTTCTAATAGGAAAGTGATCATATGAAACAAGTCAATAAAATGTAGATGAATTAATTACTGGTGAAATAGTTAATTATGTGTGTGGGTATGTGTGTGCACATCAAAATGATTTAACTGGTAATTAGTTACTAAACTAAAAATATAAGGTTTCATTTAGTTCGTTTTAAATAACATGTACCTGAAGTATAAATACTAATGATAAACCATCTTTTATGAAATAGTCTAATTAGTTGCTATGTTGGGATAAATATCAAACAAAAGTAAACTTTCGGAATGATTTAATCTGAAGTTATTCTTTATATTTTTGTTATAAACTTATCAGATACTTAAACTACTATATTCTTGTAAGCTTTTGTTGGACATAAAAATCACTGTTGTTTGTTTTATTTTTTCTAAATTGTTAATCTATAATGCTCATATTCGAATTTATTAATTCTGGCGATGTGTGGTAAAGATTTTGCCCTGTATTACTGCTTGAATAATTTGCAAATTCTGTATGTATAATTAGATGTGATCTGCTTGTTAAATTGTTTTCTATTTTGGTTATCGAGAGAGCGAACAAGCGTGGTAAACTGAATTCTGGACTAATAGTCACTTAGTATTATTCACAAGTATCTTACGTTTATTGTGTCATTGGCCAGCAAAAGTTCATTGGTACTAGATAGACAGTCCGGGTAATGTAATCAATACTCGGAATAGATCAATACAACTGCTCTGTTGTCTTACGGTTTAATCTCACGGGCCCTAAAAGACTAAAAAAGAAAATCTTTGTTTTCACCGACACATCATTAGAATTATTTTTTTCATTTTTTTCTCAAGTTTTCATTAAACATCAGATAATCAGGTTAAATGATGATTTTTAATGTTAGATATTGTCAAAGAGTCTCTCATTTCTTAAACATTCAAATAAAGAACCCTTGTAATTGTCACTGGAAAATTTCAAGTAACCAGTAACAACTTGAATTTGACAATTATAAAGTCAGACTTAATTGTACTGTAAAAAAAATAATCTATTCATACTTCTAATGTGAATGAATATTTTTATTAAAAGGCCAGAAAAAATGCATCCTGATATACATAACATTAAAGTCCACTTGGTACTGTTTTGCTTGTATCTTCCCATTGAGATTTAAGACTGCAATTGATCAGTGTGTTATTGGCATATGTGCATACTGTGTGTATGCCTCGATATTACCTTAATTCACAAGCTTTTTGTAAGCAATGATGGATAGTGGCTAGCAGTGGAATCCATGATGTGCCTTTCGCCCTATTTGGGACTCGTCAGCTGGATGTACCTGCTTATAAAAGCTTGTGAATTAAGGCAATATCGAGGTATACGCACAGTATTCACATATGCCAATAAGAGACTGATCACCTGCAATCTTAAACCTCAATTGGAAGATACAAACAAAACAATACCAAGTGAATTTAAATTCACCCCATCGCACAAGCAAGTGGCTATCAGGACTCAGTAGCTAAGCGGATAACGGGATGGCGTTAGAAGCGAATGGTACTGTGTTCGAGTCCCACAGTGAACATCAACTCTGAGATACAGGTACATCCAGCTGACGAGGCCTAAATAGGACGAAACGCACGTCCTGGATTCCACTGATAGCCACTATCCATCTTTGTTTATAACATTAAAATGTTTTTAATTAAGATACTAACAGAAATAATTTACGAGGTAAACCAATACTTATTTGTTCAATCATCAGAGTTAACATTGTCACAAATTTGTTTTAATAAGTGAAATCATTTTGCTTGTCTTAAATAATTAATAATAACTCTCGAAATTTGAATTCTATCGTAATGAATTTGAAAAATGAAAATATCTATTCACAATTTATCAGTCGATCCGAAAAGTGATTATTCTATGTGTAAAATGTTTTAGACTCGAAGGTTTATCCTTTGTTAATGACAAACAAAATGAGGTAGGCAATACAGTTAACCTTGTATTGACAACTTCAACCAACTAATCTATCGTAAGCTAAGTATTACAAATATGTAACATAATCCATTTAGTTTTATTACCCTTAACAATATATAAAGTACTTTTTATCCATCCATAATGATAATATTAATAGTTATATTTTTAACTAAAAGGTGAATGAATCACTTTTTTAATTATCTTACCATTTTCATACCGAAACAATTCAGCCAATTTGGATGAGAAAATTAGTGACTGGAAGAAAAGAACCCAAACAATATATCTTTTTCACATTCTCAACTTTAATTAAAATTATTTAGAGAATCAAACGGATCTCTACTAGTTTAAAGTGAATTATGAATGTTTTTGACTCATGAATACTTTTATTAACCGTATATTTTACCTACAATCGATTGATCACTAAATAGGGACCAATATCACGTTTATCTAGTCCTTTAATTGCTTAACGAGCTGTATCGATCAAATTGAAACGTGGCCACTAATCTGAATGGCTCGACATCATGTGAATTATGTTTATGTGTCAGATAGTTGGAGGCTGTCGACAGGACCTTAATTTCTTGTTATGTGAGACTCGTCAGTAAAAAGTACTCTCAAGCTTGAGGAAACTGCTGCTAGCTGGTAGATCTAAGAGAAGATCACTCAACTGTTCGAGTGATGATCGAACTTCTGTAAGACAAGCTGATCAGGGTTCAAATCCACCAAGGATCAGTAGTTTGCTCAGGATTCCAAATGTGCATTGATAACGAGTAGCAAATAGCATAAAACCGAGGTCTAGGGTATCCTATCGACTAGTTCCCCCCACCTAACATATTTTATCTATAAGTCAAGAAGAACGTAGAAAGACTTAATATGAATGAATGTGTTTGTAACTTAAACTATCACTGATGGTAATGTCTCTTTGTAATGTAAATACTTAGGGAAAATTAGAATATATTATAAAGTGTTAAGGACAATATACCTTAACAAGATATATTTATTTGGAAAACCGAACCTAATTCAGTCAACATGAAGATCTCAGTTTAATAGGCTGAAGTTCTAACAGAAACTTTGCATTACGTCAAGATTTTATTTAGAAACATTTTACTCAAATAAAAGACGGCCAGTTCAAAGAATTAATAGATAGATTGGTCTATGCAACTTTAGTATTTGTATTTAGCTTCCCACATCACCTGTAAACTAAAGAGGTATATACAGAAACATTTTGCTCACAGTTAGAACTTCTCTCTCTTTTCATGGCTAAATGTTTGTTCATAAATTTCTTCAGATACCCACTTTCTTTCAGAGTTGTACCCAATGCCTTTGTTTCTTCCTCAACAGCATCTGAGGAGCGTATACTCTTGATTCTATACTGAAATGTCTTAATCACGTTTCTTTTACATTGTAAAGGAATAAAACTAGTAAAATTTGCATATTAGCCAGTTCAAGTAGTTTTATTGTTTAAGTTTCTTTTTTAGTAGCACATATACTCTCCTTGTAAGTAGAACATCTAGAAAGGCTATTCCAACTGTATTTTCTTCCTCACATGTGAATATAGTAGACGGATGAACTCCGTTGAATCTCTTGTGTGTCTTTACCCAGTCAGTATGGTCTTTACAAAGGATGAACATACCATCCACAAGTCGGCAGTAAAATGAAAACTTGTCAATTCACTGTATCGGTGGACCGTTTTCCAGTTTAGCGAAAAGATTTCAATTAATACGGAACCTAGTGGTGAATTCATTGTGACACCATCTATTTGTCTGCATAGTTCGTCATTGAATTTAAAGTTTTTGTTCATAGTATATTTTAGTAATAGTTACTTGATGATGTCCATAAAGGTTATAGTCTCTATTTCTTGTTCTCTAAGTCGCCCACAGACATATCTATTTTAATCATTAATCTCACAATCCTAGTTAACGAAAGAAATATCTATGTTGTATTTATTCAGTTTCCTGAACTGAGCTTAGAACGAACACAATATTTTATGGTGAATCTCAGGAAAATAATACATTTTCTTATAATTGATTAAATATTATGCTGACTAGAATGCAATCAAGTTAAAAGAGACTTATTTTCAACAGCCCATAACAGTGAATTTCATAGGTTCCACTGAAACGTGTTAATGGATGGAGCTCAACTATGTCACTTGTCAAGCAGCTATGTTAAATGATATTGGTTTGATCCGAACCATATCGCGAAATGACGAGTTATAAATGTTTACCAATTGATTCCTGCTCAATGGTTTGAATCTAATATGCTCCACACAAGAAATGAATGTCATTGGATATGTCCTATATGGGTTTGTGGATCCTCACTATAGCTCTTCCATATTTCCTGATTTTGAATGATTCAACGATTGAATTCAGTGTATATGGTAAAAAATAACCTCAAGAAGTTTAGAGACATTATTTCTGAATCCGTATTAACTAACATTAAGTAAATTTAAAAATCATGAACTTGTATCTACTACCCTAGATTTCTTGACTCTAGCTTTCGTGACATTTTTGATCATAGTTGATAAATCTTTCGCAAGTTTTCAAGCTAGTATCTATACTGTGACTCAGAGCTGTCTTCCATCAATCAGTCAGTCTAGGTATTGAAACGATTTTTATAGATGTCTGAACTAATTTCATGTGTGGACGAATGATACTCAATAAGAAATTTTCAGTTTTTTAATTATTAAGAAAAACAAAGTTGTTTTTATTCACTGGATATTACAAATTACCAATAATATTGTCAATGGGTTGTTCCTAATATGTTATTTCTATAATCCTTTCATTTCATTTATACTACTGAAGTGTGGTTCTAAATGAGAAAAATAAACTTCCTGTAACCTTTATTGATGACTACTGTTCTCAAAACAGTGCCAAGTTTATGAATAATTTAATAATTGCGTACGAAATCAAGAGAATGTACTAAAAGAATGAAGAGATTTTATGTTATACAATCATACCTATTCTAAAATTATATAGTAAACTGATTTAATTTCCCATTCGTTTGTATTTGTTACAAATAATGGCCGAAGAGAGGCAAGTGGTTTAATGGAATACAATATCAACAAAAAAGTGGAATCCTAATCAATTGATACTCTATTTCGCCTAGAATTTTGTTGACCTTATAGCCTATTGACCTGTTATAATGCGTGACAGAGCATGACTTAGTATTCTAATTTAAAATTTGATTGGGTTATTGGTCTTCTGACCATTGTCATGTTAACTAGATAGACATTGGACATTGAAATAACACGTTGATTGGCTTATCGATATTATCTTAACCAATCAAGTATCAGTAAGGACTCACGTGACTAATACTGTGTCCATAAACAATCATTTTCTAACATTTCCTTAATTTTTTTCACTTAATGATAGATGGTTAATCACAAACTACTTTTTTTCTCCAAAAATCCTGTGTACCTGACACAATCAAGATTATTTTAACCTCTCATCATATTTTCAGCATCAAAAATCGAGCCGTTTTATTGTACCAATCCTCTCCAAACCACCTCACTACTCAATTTTAGGAATTTGAATGTATATGTAGTTGGTGAAGTTGGACACCCCAAAGCGAAAGTTATTCGTATTGTGCATATCTCAGATACAAGGGGGGCACATGATGCCTTCACAGAAAATATTCCGCGAGGACATATTCTGATTCATTCTGGCGATTTTACATCTCACCCACCTTCACTCAGCCTCCGCTTTTCAACATGGTGTAAAAGTATAACTGGTAAACTTCCTCGATTTAAAAAGCGCCATTCATCACCCATTAAGAACTGGAAACAACAAATCAAAGAGATTGATAATTTTTTTGCTCAACAGCCACATGATTTTAAAATCTTTGTTCCGGGTTGCTGGGAAACATGGTATTCGGATTCATCTGGTGACTGTCCTACGCCTGAAAAAATTCAGTCTCAGCTGACATCAGCCATTTATCTTGAAGACTCCTGGTGTCAGGTTTTTGGGTTGACGATTTACGGTATTCCTTGGACTTCAGCTGACGACTTAAGGCCAGAAGACGGAGCATTTGTACAGAAGCATTTAAGTCATTATACAAATTTTAAACTTAAAACTTCAATTAGCTGTCTGCGATTTACTGAAAAAGCTAATGGTCAAACATCATCCAAACCCACCACTACCGTCTCTGGCCCATGTCAGTCTAAAGGTTTTGTGCTGCCTAATATTGACGATGTTTCTAAACAATGGATGCATATTCCAGATAATACTGATGTCGTTGTAACTCACATGCCTGCATGGCGTCCTGAACTTTACGCCCATATAGCCGATCGTGTTAAGTGAGTTAGATCGCTTCAAGTTGATTTTTTATTCAAAGAAAAAGCTAATGATATTTCTATCCTTTTATCATTTCAGTTGCGTTTGTACAATATATGGTTCCTTAAAATTAATTTTAAGTATCCGCATGGGCAAAACTAACATAACAGATCGTATTTATATTGTATAACTACTATAGAAGTGTATTAATTTATTGACGGCTCACTGAAATGTCCAGTAATTCATGTATATTAGAAAAACATAAGCTACACACTACTATAGACCAGATATTTTTGTCCTGTAAACATTTTTTAAACGTACATTTAAGAATAAAGTCAGTAGTTAAAATAACTAGTTTTGATGCTCAGTAATTAAATATTGGTTGGACTTTCGATCACTTTTTTATGGGGAATGCTGATATTACCTGACTTCCAAAACAAACGGGGAGTAGACTTCAAATCTTTAGTACGATTTTGGTAGACTGAATCCTTTAACCACCATGCTGATAGGTCCAAGTAACCAAACGTAGACATTAAACCAATTCATAGTATTGGTACTTATGTGTTTAATTTGTTCAGGGAAGTTGAGTCTTCACGATTGGAGTAACTTAGACAACTGTATGAGGGATTGGAGACTGGGTCATGTTTCAAAATCACTATGAGGCTGAGTATTTGTGTTCATTTTGTTATTTTTCTTGTGTATGGTATCATTTCATAATTTTACTTACCCGATTTCCCTCGTCCCTTCCAACCTTATTTTTAGTTTTCAATTACTATTAGGATTATGGTTGTTTTCATATATTTTCTTACCTCTTGTTTATTCGCTGTCACACTGTTCATACGAAGTGTTGTAATTTTAACCGATATAAATAAATGCCATGTTTTATTTTGTTTTTGTCTGTCTAAATAACTGAGTTGACCTATTTTCATTTATGATATTCATTTACCAATTTAGGGTAGAATAGATAGCAAGATATTCTACCGTTTACTCATAAAGTTAACAAATGCATTATTTAGAACAGGATAGATGACGAGGAAACTTAAAGGTGTTAACTATAACTTTTGAACCATAACATCCATTGGAGCATTTAAACTGTCACGATAAATCGTATCTGTCTTCTGTGAAAAGAATAAAACGACTAATTGAAGTAACTAATTATTACTGCTTTTGCTTGCATAAATCTTGTTTGAGGATCGGGTCAAATATATTGATGTATTTTGCTGAATTAGGCACAAGTGTTGTATCGATTAGTCACTACATGTAGATATATTAAAAGATACGGTAGCCAAAATCAAATAACATGTCTGGAATACTTTCCTAGTTTCACCTGTAAACTACTTCCTTCAAATAAATTGGTTCGTTCTGGTTCAAAATTCATTTTCTTGACTTCTACAATGTATATATGACAGGTGACTATTTGTCAATTCTAAGTATATTTTTATAAGCGATAACCTCAAGATGGTCAATATTATTTTCTTGAATACAATACAATGCTAATTTGGAATATTAAAGGCTTTATTTTTACGATTAATCCAGTGTAGTGCTTAATTTTTTGTCACTATAGGTATTTTGGTGTTGTGCTGAAATTCCTCTTCAGTATATATATATTGCACTCTAGATGAAACATTTGATAAATTTTGAATATATGGTTGACTGAAGCGTCTGGTCCTTTTTATTTCAACTAGGTGGTGCTGACTGAGATGTTATCAGTAGATCCTCGACTAAATTAAATGCTTCGATTTTCATGTTGAAAACTGGTACCCTTTTAGAAGGGTATATATATATATATATATATAGTTCCAGAAATCAGAAATGATAACATGATGGGTAATAGTTATACCTGACAGTAGAAAACTGTCACTGGATATATTGAAGTTTTACCGATTATGATTTTTGATGGATATACAGTCTCAATTATCGTCACTCAACACGTATAAGGAAATAAAAGGAAACCAAATTTTGTCAAAATGTTTCTATTAAGCAGTGAAAACAAAATGGACTAGTGGTCTACTACGAGAAATAAAAATCATTTGAGAAATTTAACGATAACCAAGTTATTTACGATGGTCACTATTATAAGTTAGATTATGGTTACAGGTAGTCATTAATTGGGAGAATATTTTATTGAGTTCAAATTGAAAAAGAAATCTAGATCGAACCAATAATATGTGAATCCTTTTGACTGAATGTTCATAATATTCAAATATATTAATATTTGTTACAGATTGACATCATCTTGGGTTTAAATGAAAAGACACTGGATAGTTGTTTTGTCGTAGTATGGAGCTCCTTGGAAGTGCTCATCCATGACCTCACCAGAGGTTGAACCTAAGACCATGTCAACCATTAGAATCAGTGGGACGGAGTCGTGGGTTTTCACTGTTAAACAATTCCATACTCAGATGAAACTGTTGTCCACTCCCTCTTGACTTTCATTAACACCAGTCTATGACGAATACTACTTACAAAAAATTAACCGATCTCCACAAACCCGTTCCAATTTATTCACGTTTCGAAAATCTTACGCTGCACACCGCTATCTTTGATATACCGGATAAGAATTAAGCCAGATAGTCAGATTTTCATCCCAAATGGCACTTGACACACACAATTTATACCTTCTAGTCGTTTATGTTCTAACTAACTTTCTATATTGTTGAGTTCGTCTATCGATTAGGATTCTATCCAACTTTTTTGAAAAAATATATTCAAACTAAGTATTATTTATCAAATCACAATCCATAATAAGCTTCCAAACTCAAACTTGGTAATTTTATAGTCTAAGTTATGTTCTAAGACCACTGCATGTTAATATGATAAACTTTTCTAGTTCGATTTCAACTGTTTGCTGTATTTAACAGTAATAAGCATCATCGAAAAATTAGAAACTTTGTATATTATTTCTTCATTATCTATTATTTCCATACTCTCATTAAATTGTAGACTAAAATGTATGTTTAAAAAAAAACTTATATGGAATGATAAACTGAATGATCAGTTTACCATGATGAATTTTTATATTTAATGTTATGTATTCAAAATTAATTAAGATAATAACAATCCGTCATAAAAACATATCTACTGATTGAATAAGCTTAGGCTTTACATTCCCAATGCATCCATCAAACTCATTTTATTATTTGCATTTACTTCCAATTTACGTACTTCAAGAAATGAACACAAACTTGATGTTTTTTAAATTAGGATGATAGATTAGTGATCAATTAGTTTGGTTATATATTGGAAAGATAAATAAAATGATTTCGAAATACAGGCCGTGAAAAATAATATCTGTCAATCATCTGATAAACTATTGTATTAGTTTGTTTGATGGCAAAACCCGTGTTCTGGTTTGTTGACGACTAGTCGTGTGAACTTGCATCGGAATGAGTATTGTTAGATCGACTAAAAATTCAATCTATTGATGTCTTATTCCTCCTGAAGCTTGGTCAAAACAACTATATTTTGTTCAATGGGTACAAGATGTTTTAGGTATGTAAGATTTCTTCTTCCTTGATAACAGGACAGAATCCTCCACTTAGTGTTGAGAAAATAAATACTTGTATGCTTATTTTAATATTCCTGTTAACTACGGTTTCGTTCTACTGTCAGCCATTACTAAATACGCCTAAATCACAATCAAAGGTAATGTTAAAGCGATTATATGGTAAGTATGTGCAACTCGGGTGATTACGTGCCATGAACTAATAAATGATAGTTTCAATCCCAATAATTTGTAATTCCATTTAAAAGTGGTTGTTTTTTGGTTTTCTGTTTTCTGTACAATTTAATGTCCCTTGTTGTTTCGCCATTTAATGATTACTTGAAAAGAACTAAGTAAAATTATGACTTTTCCAATTTTATGCTCTTTCAAATTTGGAATTAACTGTGGAGTACTCCGATGCCCCATTATAGTGGTCTGGTAATCTTATTTTTTCCAACTGAATGACTGAATTCCATTAATACTGACGGTAATTATCACAAGGCGTCTAGTTCATATTAAAATGGGGTCGTATAATTTTTATCTGATAATCAATAACAGCGTACTCAGTTGTATGTAATAAAAGAAACTGCACCGTACTCTTATATACGTGTAATTGGGACGTGACATTTCAAATCTTAATTGATAAAGATTCGGTTTATTACTCGCTAATTTATTGATCAGATATTAGCAAGAGTTAGAAAAGCAAAATCAAAAACAACGAAATGGAAAATTCTCACTGTCTGATGAGTTTAAGCTTTTTTGAAAACACACTGAGTATGACTGAGACCGATTTATTTGTTAGATTATTTAAAAAATATGAAAATGGCTTTTGTCGACATTTCACCTTTATCTGAGTTCTTTTCAAAAGTAAACTTATTTTGTGTAGTATATCTGATTTCAATGTACGAGTACATTCACAAGTCGCCTTAAAAGTATTTACGAGATTTATCATGTAGATTTCTAACGGTCAACCTCTATCTCTTACATTATTTCTCATAAAAGTTCGAAAATCTTTCCCATGAAACTCCAATTTGATTGTTTGGTTTAATGTGAAGGTGAAGAGTCCAGTTGTGTTGACTCTTTGTTCGGTATCTAATTTACCACATATTTATAATATTATAGTTACAAATTTCAGTTTAAGACAAGATAACTAAGTCTGTATTGTGTAGCTAAACGCTTAGTAATTCTGTATTTCACTAATCCATAGAGGCGGTTTTGTCACAGATTTAGCATCGGTTCATGAAATCATTAAATGTTAGTTTGAGCTGTGTTGATAAAAGTAGACTACTTGATTGGGGTCCTTACATAAATTCCAATAAATGGTTGAAGACATTGGGTGACATGGCTCAAAATCTATCACAGTAGCACAAATAAATTCATCCCTTATCTTAAGTCTCGAGTTCCTACATCACGTCATACTTTCTATTCTCTTATTACATTAATTCTCCAACCATATTCTCTATATTTATTTTTACTATCATTGGTATTATTATTATTCTGACTTGTACTACTCATTGTGAATCCTAAAGAAATGAATTC